GTATAGGCATGAGGGTTCAGGGTCTTTTATCCTCCATGCTGCCTGCGCGCAGGTTTGGGGGTGGAAGATGCCTGGACGTGTAATGTTAATTTTACCTGTGATCCTTTGAATAAACCAGCACGGTTATTTTTTATATATTCAAGTGGTCTGCCTCGTCTCTCTGAGTTCCTGGTTAGAAGAACTGGGTAATATCTTACAATAATAATGCAATATCTTCTGACCTTATTAAAACTTAATATGGACAAGACCACACTATCTCTCCCAAATTTAACTTAAAGGATAAGCCCAGTGATTTTCTATTGTTTTATTAGCCTATTTTCCAGAATCTGTGCCATCCAAAATCTATTACAAACACACCAATGAGCCACACTGCTCATGACATGTTTCTTCCTCAAGGAAAATGTTATACTTGTCTTTTTTCAAGAAGACGCCAAAGGATAAGAATGACCATGGTTTGTACAGTCGCTAAACAAATGAGTAGTTCACCACATTCTCTTTTCACAGTCATTACAGTATGTAGTCTACACCCAACTACTGGTTTTAGTGTGGTGTATGGGATTTGTGCCCAGTACTTTATAAAGTGATGAGTCACATGCCCACTCCATCAATCAGTTCTGCCCCATCCTTTGTTCGGGGAGTTAATAAGCAAATATTGTATAAACCATGGATGTATTAAGGAGAACACATTGAAACTGTGTTGAGGATTCACAAAAGGTGCCCTATCAGTGCCTAAAGGCAAGCCCCCCCCCCTCTCTCACCATCCAATCAGATGAGAGGAAGTACGTCGCGCTTCCTGGTTAGCTCCTGCTCAGCTGACTGACAGCCATGGTAAGTTAAACAGTTTATTTATATAGTTATGTAGTTAGTTATTTAATTATAATCATGACATTTATCACCAATTTGCTTATATAGAAGTCAGCTCTTTCTGGGGACATTTTAGTCGCATAGTGTTTTATTCTTATGTTATTATTTAGCTCAACACTATCGATGTTTAGCCGGCTTGTAGGTAGGCTACAGCTAGCAAGCTAAGCTAGTAACCATTAATGATGGATTGCAAATGTAACGTTAAATGCCAACGTTACAGTGTTTGTGGGGGTGACTGTTCTGGTACAATACATTATACGACACTAATGTGATATCTCTTGCAGCGGTTCCGCTTCTGTGGAGATTTGGACTGCCCAGATTGGGTGCTTGCTGAAATCAGCACATTAGCGAAGCTCGTAAGTAATTACTAATCCCCCCACCTAAAAATATAGCAATGCCGGTTTTATCAATACCACTTTATTGCTTTTTCATTTACTTTAATATAATGTGATACTTCTGCTTTACAAATGTGACAGTCAAGTGTCAAGATGAAACTCTTGTGTGCTCAAGTGCTGAAGGATTTGCTTGGGGAAGGCATCGATGTAAGTGTTTAAAATATAGTTCATCTCCTACAGACAGATTTCACTTAAGCTAATTATTGCTATCATCTCTTTGTTTTAGTATGACAAGATTGCAAAGCTTACTGCAGATGCAAAGTTTGGTAAGTCTCCTTTCCTCTGGTACTAAGTGGTGTAAGAAGTATTTAGCTGTTTACTACATTTGCAAGTGCAGTAACTGTAGTCTAAGCTGACACTAACTTTATACAGTAGCCTATAGTTTCTGGCATGTGCATTCTGTAACAGCGCAGTATGTTTTCTTGGCTGATCATATGCTTTGTATGTAAAGTTTAAATCTGCTAAATAGCAAGTAACTATATAGTAGATCTCAAACACATGATGGAGCACACAGTATTGTACAACTTTTGCTTCTTTAATGTAGTGAAGAAGAAAAATTTAAGTGACATTTAAAAAACCTCTAGTAAAAGTACCTAATAATCATTCCCTATGTACAGTATTGGAGTAAATGTAATTAGTTATTTTCCTGTGCTGCTGTTACTGCCATTAAATCTTACTCATTTACTTCACACAGAAGCTGATAACAATATTATTTTGTAATTTTAATTCTATATAATGCTTTCATAACATAAAACCATCTTGCAGAGAGCGGAGACATCAAAGCTAGTGTGGCAGTGCTCAGCTTCATTTTCTCAAGTGCAGCAAAGCATGATGTTGACAGTGAATCTCTCTCCAGTGAGCTGCAGCAGCTTGGCCTACCTAAAGGTTAGTCCACTGTATAGTATAGAAATGATGATTGTGATGCATAATGTCCAGTCATACATGCACATAGGTCTTTGAGCCTTACCTGATAACATTTAAATTAAGAAAGGACATCAGTTCTTAGGACACACACAATTAATGCATTTCAAGAAACATGCAGGTCCCATATCACAGCACTGTGTTCGAGCTTATTGCACTGTATAATTGCTTAATATGTACTAATATGTGGTACAACCTGTACTCACCTGGAACTTGAAGGGGACAGCAAGGACAATGCTAACTGATGGGGTGGTGCATTGTGACTTTAAATACCAAACCCTGAATGTTGAAAGTTTGCAAGCTTGAGATGTTGTGAGGATTTCCACTTTATGTCATAGTTAACAACTCTTAAAACACTTTGTGGTTATTACATTTTTTTCTCTTATTGATCAGTCAGCGCTGTCTGACTGTAAAGTCGTGGTACTTATGCTAATAGCGTGTTCAATCACTTTTATGTGAATATGCACTTAAAACATGTCTTCACTTCAATAATTAATTACAAATGACTGTTTTTTTTTAAGAACACACAACAGGGCTCTGCAGATCCTATGAAGACAAGCACTCTGCACTGCAAGACAAACTGAGAGAGACAAGCCTGAGATGTAAGTATTTCTGTCCGTCTTCCCCTTTTCAGAGAGGAAGACATGTTTCTGATGATGAATGCAGTCTTTTGAAAGGCTACTGACTGAGATGTGCTGTTATTTCTGCTATGTTATGAATTTTAGTGGGACGGCTGGAGGCTGTGTCCTGGCGTGTCGACTACACTCTCAGCTCTAGTGAACTGAGAGAGGTGAATGAACCTACAATTCAGCTTAAACTGCAAGTCCAAGGAGCAGAATCAGGCTCAACAGAGACAGCTGTTTTCTCTGTCTCTGCTGACAAGTTCAGAGTCTTGCTTGCAGGTCAGTTCTGCATGTGGTAAAATCACAATTCTTTTTTCATTTTCAAGTCAGAAATCTGTTGTGCTGCATCTGTCTCTTTGTATGTTTCTACAGAGCTCAAACAAGCCCAGGCTTTGATGAATGCACTACAGTGAAGAACGGACAGTGACATTAATGTAGGCCAGTTGGGGCACAGATGACGCATAGACTGTGAAAACTGCCATATGTACAAATTGTACAGCATATTTCCTTTTTTATAAATTCAGTCATTTCAGAGCTTAAGTGTAAACCTATTTCCTCATTTGGATTGACTGATTTTTTTTTCTTTTTTACCACGTTATTAATAGGCTAATAGTTGGAAATGTTTCAGACTGCATCATTTATTACGTAATTAAAAAATATTGAATTGACAATTTTGTACATTATTACGTGTTAACACATTTTGATTTGAATTATGTTGAAAAGTTGTGTTTTACCTTCATATATTGATAAATAAAATGTAAGAGATAGACTATTTGTGTCTTTACCGAGTTTCAGCTACGGCTACATATCCCATGATGCGTTGGGGGTGAAATGTGTCCTCACGTTACGTTTCTGCTGTGCGTTTGCAGGAAAAAAAAAACCCGTTCGACATTTTTCGCTGTTGAATAAGTTATTAGGGAACATGACAAAACATCCACTTAGGCTCGACATGCATGAAAAATACTAGACCACAAACTATCGAGCGTGAAAAGCTTAAAGATCTCGCGGGATTTAGAACTAATGGTGACGTTACGCAACTTGTTTAGTAACAAGCTTGTGTAACCCTTCAGTAAGTGATACCTGCTTAATGCGCCAGCTTTGCAGAGAGTGGAGGAAGTCAACAAAGTCCGTAAGTTATGTTAATACACCTCCGGACTGATACATGTACTGGTATATATCTGGAGAGGTCTGTTTCCTAGCTTCGGTAAATTATGTGAAATGCCCCTGTAAATCAATGAAAAGGCCAGATTTTAGCTGTGTGTTACCTGTTGGCACTTCGCACATGACATAGCATGTATACAATGCAGAAACTGCTTAAGTGCTTAACAAAATACAGTCAGGTTACGCATGCTATGTTTTAAGGGCGGATGCGTGCACAGTTTAAAGTCTAAGCATTGAGATCTGTAATTGTAAGTTATAGTCTAAGAATTAGTGTGAGTAATGTTTATGGTGTGATGCTTGAAAGCTGCTGTTATGCAATGTGCTTTCGTTGTGTGTTTGAGGCTGTGTAGTTGTGCGTAAGGACAGGCTACTGAGGTCATAAATCCACCCAATACACACCCAACCACTGATACAGGAAAAAAAACAAACATTTTTGAACTACTTGGACTTTTAATGTGTTATTTTTTCAGTTAATAGATCAGTTCAACTTTTTAGACTTTTCTTATTTCCAGCATGAGATACATTTATTGTCATTGCATGGTATATACAATAAAATCCAGTTTTTATTAACTGTCCACATGAGATGTTGTGATATGTAAGTGTCCAAGTACCTAAAACTAGAAACTCTCTCCACTCTGTCACTGTTTATGTAAAGTGGGTGGTGGTCATCCTGTTTCTTCCTAAAGTCAATTATAGGTTTTTTTATATTAAATGCCAAGTTCTCTATACACTGATCTGTCAGTCTCTATGTCTCATTAAAGGCTTAAAATGCTGTTTCAAAGCTCTCATGCTCTCTCAGTATAATTCTGGGGGACAAGAGTTGAAGCCAGATTTTTAGATTACTTTGTTTACCTAAAAGTTGACAAATGTAAACATACAGTGTTGATATGACGCACAGTACTCTAATACTGTAATGAACCTCTAAAATGTGTACGTTTTACTTGTATAATGTGAACTCTCCCCAGGTTGCTAAAACCAGATGACACGCCCTTAATGGTAGCTGTGGATATGGATGTGATATTTTGTGATTGAATCTTTGCTTAGCCGCTTTGTACTCCACAGTTGCAACACAGCTTCATCTGTTCCAACAAAATGCCTGAGGGACCAGAACTGCACCTGGCCAGCCTTTATGTGAACAAAGTGTGTGATGGAGTGGTGTTTACTGGACCAGTCAGAAAGTCTGAGGTCAGCAAGAATCCTGATGTGCCCTTCAACTGTGAGGCCTACCACATCACAGCCGCTTCTAGAGGGAAGGAAGTGATGCTCACCCTGGCACCCATCAAGCGTGATGATCCTAAATTCAGAGTGAAGACAGGACAAGCAGACCAGCCCATGGACATTGTCTTCCGCTTTGGGATGTCGGGACATTTCCACTTCAGCACAGAGGATGAGCTGCCCAAGCATGCCCATTTGCGTTTTTATACCAAAGAAAAGCCCTGCAGAGTGCTAAGCTTTGTGGATACACGCAGGTTTGGCAGCTGGCAGCCCAATGGGACTTGGCAGCCTGGCAGAGGGCCCTGTGTCATGTTTGAGTACAAAAGCTTCAGGTCAGTAATACTGAGTGTCATTTGTGTCACCTGCACAATCAAAATAGTAATCTCACACTAGCCATTTAATCATTTTGCAGGAAGAATGTTGTGTTGCACCTGTCTGACCGTGCCTTTGACAGGCCCATCTGTGAGGTTCTCCTCAATCAGAAGTACTTCAATGGTATCGGGAACTACCTGAGGGCTGAAATCCTTTTTAGGTGATGCACTTACACAACCCGTGATACATTATACGGTTCTGTATTAGGCACAAAAACTGACCTTGTTAATTGGAACAGGTAACAGCTGTCATGACGATCCACTTTAAATATAGGGCAGTAACTTAGCAATAATAATAAATTAGTCTGTTGTATCTGATTAATTTAGTCTATCAACTGTCATAAAGCACAACAATTCCTAACAGTTTACTGTGGCTGAAAGTGTTTTGTCCAGCCAACAAATATTCATTTGACAAGTCAGCAGATGTTCACATTTGAGAAGCTGGAGCCAGTGAATATTTAGCTTTTTTTGTCATTCTAAAATGTATTATCTCTGGCGCTCACATTCCCTGACAGGCTTGTTTTGATTGATGATTCAAGGTCCAACTTGGGAAGTTATAGACTTGTGATATTTCTGTAGTTCAGTACAGTTCCTGATAGGTTTTGGTTTGAAGGAAAATTCTGACTGTATAATTTGTTTTGTTGAAAATCATGACCGAAACAATGTCACAGCTCTCAGGGTTTCAGCATCTGCTTCCTTCAGATATGAAATGATTGGCCTCGTTCACTCCACAGTTTACCGAGCTTACTTCCTATGGGGAGGCAAGGCGGTTTAAAACAAAAGAGGCTTTCAGTTTTTAGAAATGAATAGGCCTTTAGTTTTTTTTTTTTTTGTTTGCTTTGTTTTTTAGGCTGAACATTCCACCTTTCGTGCCAGCCAGGACTGTATTGGAAGGCCTTGATTCAGATGATTCATCTGAAAATGAGACTACAGACATAAGGGTAAAAAGTGGCTGACATATCAGATGCCTGACTCAAACCACTTTGCATTTCCATAACACTGCCTTTCTTTATTCTTTTTGAAAGACCTCAGTCAGACCTAAAAAGAAAGGGATGAAAGGAGAAATGAGTGACCTACTTCGACTGTGTCACGCAGTTCCTCTGGAGGTAATCGACCTAGGTGTGTTGTGATGTGCTTACTGTGTGGTCCACTCTGAATCTTGGCTCCGTATGTTTTGCTTTCACATAAACTTGCATTTTTCCTGTGGAATGCCTTCTGATTTTTGACACATTTTGTGAGTTAGGTGGAAAGGGCTACGATCCTGAGAAGGCAGACTACTCTGGTTTTGCGACGTGGCTGCAGTGTTACAGCGTGGATGGAATGAAATCCATCCAGGACCACAGTGGCAGAACTATATGGTTCAAAGTGAGTTAAAGGAAACGCCTACATTTTAATCCATGGCACAGGATTTTGTATATTAATCTTACTAATGCTTGCTGTTCTAATTCCAGGGAGATCCAGGCCCCATGGTGCCTAAAGGTGTGCAAAAGTTTGAATATGTGAAACTGAGCACTTCAGCTGAAATGTATTTGAGAATAGTCGGCGCATCATACTGAACTGGTATTTTTTTGCTCATTGTAGGTTCAAAGTCACCAAAGGCAAAAAAGAGAGCAAAGAAAGAAGATAACCATGATTACACAGACAAGAAAAAAGTATTAAAAGTCACTTATTGATGCCCGACCAGTAATGAACTCTACAGATGTAACTCTGACTTGGTTTGATCCCATTAGGTGGCCCGGAGTCGCCCTGAAGGCACAATGAGGACGAAGATGGTAAAACAGGAAACTGTGACCAAACCACTAAAGAAAGAGAAGGATGCGTGGTCAAAGGAAGCCGGATCCAAGAGAAAAAAGACTCAGGAAGTCAGCACATCTCAGAGTGGAAAGGGATCAGCTGCACACAGGAGGAAGAGTAGGAGTGCACAACCAGCTGCAGGTGAGCCCACGAGACTCTCAAAGTAAAATCTTTCTTTTTTTTTTCTCTGGGGGGGATTTTAAAAGATTTGTTAATGGTGTCCTCCTTGTTGCAGGTTCACAGCGGCGGAGCAGGAGAATTACCAGACAGAACAGCAAATAAAATGTTTAAAATTACTGTAAGGAACTCTGATGGCACTATACATTTTTAAAAAATAAACACACTTCTGTAAAAGTTCTTCATATATTGATTGATGAAAAGTTATGCCATTGTTATTGGCACTTTGACAACAACGTCCACCTCAAATAGATGCTGTGTATTCACCCAATTCTAAACTGAGGTCCCCTAACAGACTGTTAATAGAGCAACAATTGATGATTCATACCATAGTTTTAACTGACCAATGACTGTTTTGGACTGATTATCAAAATCTTCTCTTAATTCTTGATTGATATATTTAATTCCTCCATCACACATACACATTCAAACAGTACTGTGATCAGCATGTATCACAAGATGAGGAGAAGTGACACAATTTGAAAGGGGCTGAAGTTCAGAGTGATTCCCTCTGATGTAATGTGGGCTTGCTGGGTGGGGTGTTGTTTTTCCAAGAGATCACAACTGGAAGGGGAGAGGTTTTTTTTAGAGGACAATACAACATAGGTTTTTATAGAAAGCACTTAACACTATAAAAATAGAAATACTTACTGCCAGGCTTCTTTCACTGGAAAGCTGGTGCAGAGAGTTGCATTCACGCTGCTCCCATGAGACTCATAGAGTCTGACTACAAGTGCGCCATTCCTGTCCTCAGCCTGTTAAGATAAAATAGAGTAAGCCATTAAAGGGGTGAGTGGATTAAGTCAAGCGAGGTCAAACTCATTGTTTAAAAGGCTGGACACTTTCTATATTAACAGTATTTTCAACACATCCCATACAGAGACTAAACCCAGCAGTGGTTTGCCTCTACTCACTGTTAATGTCCGCAAGTGTGTCAGTCCTGAATTAACTTATTTGTCGTTGCCACTGACCCCTGTTGCTGTTCAAAAACAGTTAAAAATACATCAGAGAATCACACCACTGCACTGGGTGACATATTTCCTCATTAGAAAACCCCAGACCCGAGTGTGAGGAGCTAGCAGAAGGTAAACAAAGCAAACACCTTGTGGAATATCTCGCGCATGCGCAGTTGACTTGTGTCGAATTGTGTTCGCTCTGAGTCTTTCAGGCAACAGTCAGGTCTGGGGCTTATTAACAGAAAAATGTCTCACCCAGCACAATGTGTGTGATGTGACTGATGTGTTTTTAATCATGTTTGAACAACAACGAAAATCTATGGCAGGCATGAATAAGATAATCCAGAACTGACAACTGGCGGACATTAACTACGAGTAGAGGCAATTCGTTGTTGGTTTTAGTCTCTGTATGGAGATTTCTGGAAATGCGATTAATATAGAAAATGACCGGCCTTATCCTTTAATGAGATACCTGTTTAATGGTCTCCAGGATAACTGCTTCATTGTTGACAGAAAAGGCACTCCAGGGTACAGTATCAGGACTGCACTGGAATAACCTCAGAGGGAAATTGAGGTTGTATGCGCACTGGATAACAGAGGCATCTTGGAAGGATCCTGTACAAAAGACAATATAACATGTTACATGTCCACTTAACCAGGCACACTGTCATAGTTTTAAATTCTAACAATATGCTTTATTTTCAAACACATTAGGAAGGCGAGCAAAACTTACCTGAGTGCGGCATGACTGCATATGTGAAATGATGCATCCCCATGTCAGCATTGGCATCTGGGGCCTTGGGTGCTCTCAGTCTAAGACAAAAGGTATCCACTGTTAGATACAAGGATTATTTAAATTTGGTGTAAATACATTTTACTATATGTAAAATTTTGGATATGAACAGTGGGAAACCTCACAGGGACAGCGTCATAGTGTTTTTGTGGACTGAATAGCCGTATTTACTGTCATTCAGCAGTGCAACACCAAAGTTGTGCTCTGACAAATCGGCCCATTTGTGACCCCAAACCTGAGAAAGAAATGATGATGAAAAACAGCAAAGACGATACAAAGCATTTCAAAAGCATAACGTTCATTATAACAGCATCACTGACATCTGTCGTCCTACAGATCAGGTGTGCAGGGTCAAAACAGGGCGCTAGGTGTCAAAACACCTGTGGAGATCAGTGTGCGTTAACTGGCCTCTTTGTATAGCTGACGTTGACAGTGTTGTACCTCAAATCTGGCCCAGTCCCATGAAGTGTTCCTGTGTGTCGGTCTCTGCAGATGTCCAAACTGGATCTCATATGTACCATTTGGGCTATGTACTCGCACAGGGAATTCCACCTTAAGAAACTTGTGTGACTCTGCCCACTTCACCTGAAAGTGCAGGATACAATGCATAGTAGTGCTTTTTTAAACTCTACATTTATCTCTGTTGTTTAGTAAGCCGTTTGACTGTATAAAAGATGGACAGCTCAACAGTTCTCAGAAGTGAAACCACAGCAAGTCGATCACCCCCTGGCAGCTGGTTGCAGTATGAATCATACATCCACCCCCTCCATGTTAGTGGGTGGGACATGAACTAAAAACTCAAAAGAACAAATCAGATACATTTTTCCAAGAGGTGATTTATGTGGTTTCTGGTAAATATCATGCTGACGTATGTACAAGTGGTCATTTTTCCGCTAAGGCTGTTTTTAGTAAGTTATTTTATGACTTAAAAAAGTGGTGTATTTCAGATGATTTGACAGACGTGATTGGAGGTTTGATGCTCAGCTGCTTGGGCACTACTGCACAGAATCTGGTTGCAAAATGCCAAGATGGCAGCCACCATAGTCACGCTATTTGGCTTCATTTTTGCATAGTAGAGGGAAGTGGTAACACGTCATCCATATTTCTATACAGTCAATGGCTAAGGTACAGTATGTTACACACGTTTTGCCGTTTTGTTTAAAGTGTTACACAGAATGTCTTGATGTCACATTTGACTGGTGATCAGTGATTCTTTGGATCTGTGCAAATCGTATGTACCACAACATTACAGTTGTACCTCTGTGCTGAACTTGATATAAGGACACATGGCATCCATGATAATCTCCTGGGTGATAGTGCTCTTCTCACTAATCCTGAGGCTGAAGCTGACACTGCCCCGGAGCCCACCTGAAGACACCACATGAACAGGCTGCACCACCTGCTCTACTGGCTTCCTGTAGGATCATTTTGGCAGTCAGGTTGTTGACATTCTTATCTTCAGCACCTCCAAATACTGTGATGTAGCTTTAACAGTAATAACTGAAACCTTGTCTGAAGATGATAGTCCATTACATCCCAAGCATCCCAGTACAAGGGAACATCATCAAACATGACAAACTGGTTCCCATGAGAGCTGTCAGAGATGGCTTCTCTGAAACCAACAAAGGGTGCGACAGATGTTAATGTACCAGTGTTAAAGCTGTAGTAGACACTACACATGTGCTCTTACAGTACCTCTTTGCCTTGATCAAATACAGGGATGCCAAAGTGCCATCTTTATTTATGACCGTCTGTAAAATCCCATTCTGCATGAGGACAGTGCCATTGGCCTGTAATATTAGACAGCAGCTCAGTTATCTAAATTGCATTATAACACAGCTAAAATGATTAAATCCTCTCTCTATATATCATGTGTACCTGAACAGTGACTGAGACTGGAATCACAGGCTGTGTGTCTTGGACAGGGGACAAGCCAACACTGGGGACTTGAACCAGAGCTGCAGTGGCAGAGATAGCACAGAGCATTAGATATGATGTTGTAGTTTGGAAGGTGACAACATAACGAATACCATAAGTATCAGACATACCAAGACCAGGTTTACCAGCTCCATCTTGAATCTGGACGACTTCATGGCGCTCCCATGGCAGAGAGTTGAACAGACCAGCAGCGTCTCCTTTTGATCCCAGGGCTCCACACGCATCATTCAGCAGTGCAGCACCATCATTACGAATATCTAAAACACAGTGCGATGTACTTTTTTTGTGGAAAGCTATATGTTGGTATGGCTCTGATTTTAATTGATGGCTAATGTGAAAATTCACTCAAAACGGTACCTTCATAATACCTGAGCGCATCCTCCACAACCATCTCTATACAGCTGCCAGGGATAACATCATGAAACTGGTTTAAAAGCAGCAGCCTATAAGGGAAATGATATCTATTTTAATACAGTAACAACAGAGACAATCTGTGTATTTATCCTCCTTATAAAAGTTTATTTATGTCCAGACCTCCAAAGCTCCTGGAGCTTTTCCGCAGGATACTGAAATGTCCGGTCTTGACACAGCGCCAAGCAGCTGGCTATCTCAATATCATGGAGGAGGGTCTCACACTGGCGGTTCCCTTGTTTAATCTGGAAACAGTAAAACAAAGATAAAACAAACATTTCTGATTGTTTTAACACGTAACTAGTCGGTAGCATTTCTTTTTTTTTCTCAGTTTCAGTTTCATGCTTCACATGTTCCATGTCTGCTTCCCGCACGAAGTGTGATGCATTTCCTCACATTGGTGCTAGTATGTGGCATTGTGTGGGACTGTATTATTCTGTCAACTGTTGCTTACTCTCTGCTTCTTCTTATATATGTTAGTTCATATTTTAAAGACTGCTAAAAGGTAACAATCCAAATACATTTGACATGTACTATAAATAATCTATACTATTTTCAAAATATTCTGTGTTAAAGCTGCCAAGACTGAATATTTATGCACCAAAAATAGGTATTATATTTTATAGTTTTACTATGCATACTATTCTTGTTATTTCTTCTGTTCTGTCCTATTTATGTTCTTATAGTCTTTCTTTATTTCCCTCAGTACAGCACCCCCACTCAGATGAATAACATAATGAATGAATATCATTACATTTAATTTAATAATGAGGGCTGTGAACACATCTGTATTCTACCTGTGCCTGTGTGGTGTAGGTGCCATTGTGAAGCTCCAGAAAGAGCTCTCCAGTCCATGTACAAAGCAGAGCTGAGTCGGCCTGAAGCTGAGAGAACAGCCTGGCGGGAGTGGACATCTTTACTCTGAGAAGTACACAGAAATAAGAAATGGATGAGCAGTGACGTCACTGGTTACACCTTTGTTATTCATTCTGACTAAAACATGACTGCATTTGTTAGTATTGTAATACACTGCGATGACATCAGTAGACATCACTCATATCCTTTTTTTAGTTTAATAACTT